TTACTGCCTATGAAATATTTTGATCAGAGCTGACTGGAAACGTTTTGACACAGTTGCTCGGTTGAGACACATAGTTACACTGCAGCTGAAACGTTTTGCAAAAACATGTTTGTTTTGGTAAACAGGGAGATTTGTTTCAGAATCGAAATCTCCAAGGCAGGAAGATCTGCAGTTTGACTTTTTGTGTTGTACTTGCATTTTTTTTGTCACAATTTTGTGTCAGCGCACGACAGAAACTTAGGGAGCTGACTCCCAATTCTGTATTGTTACCTCTTGGTGCTAATTTTGGTTGGCTGCTTCCCTTACAAGAACAGTTAGTATTTCATGCTTTCCACTTCTAATTAAGACTTATATTGCTCTGCTGTTTGCAAGTAGCATGAACAAGAGCAGAACAAGAGCTTTGTAGTTCATCTCAACCTTGGCTAATGTCTTTCTAAACATGACATTAAAATTATTAACAGATGTTTGTCTTTCTTTGGCTAGCAAACTGTACATCTCAAACTTGTACTGCTGCTTAATGACTTCATATGCTAAATCATGTCGTATCAGTCAATTGAAACAAATTCTTCCATAAAGTAGTTTGGTGAACTTTCTGCTCCTAGTTTTTATTCTATTTATTCATCAAAAGAACAGAAATATCTGCAACACCTGCATGCTATATATATGCCTCACAAAAACAGGAGAGCATTTTGTGCCTTCTTGGTCTGATTACAAATGGTTTCTCCTTTTATCATTTCCCACCTTACACATACCTCAGAATCCACCTCTTCTGCTTCACCAGGGCCTGGGGATTCCTTTCTCAAGCTGCCGCAACCATGTCCTTCTCAGTCCTTCACAAACATTTACCTTCCCCCAAAATATGAAGAAGAAATCATACTCCTAACCAGCATTCCTTATGGTTAGGTCCAAATAGTCTTTAAATCCCCCTCTCCCTGCCTTGATTCCTTCTAGGATCCTGCTCACCACTTCTTTCAGTGGGATGCTCAAGCTTCAGGTATTCTTGGCTCCCACAGATGTCAGCGGGATTTTCAGCAGTGCAAAAGTGGGACCTTTCCTCATGTTTTCCACTTGGAAATTCCCCTTCACCCAAGCTGATGTGACTCACCTGCATTGTCATTCTTTCTGAAAATGAAAGTCATCAACCCCACCGTGCTCCTACTATCCTGTTGTGCACAATGACACTACTGAAAAAAACAGGGAATTAACAAGGACTGAATTAAGCTGCATCATTCAGTTTCACTACTTTTCATTGCTGCCCTTTATAAGTTAGGTCACGCTTTTATCCTGAGAAGATTCATACATTATGTATGTTTTTACAGAGAGTCAATAGTATGAGTATGAATTTGCTAGGGACTGAGGCTTACTGTCAATAGTACTCCTCAAATACTACAAACAGAAGCAGATTTCTTACTTAAAAATGGATTTACTTGCACTTCAAATATCATAAGTGCGATTAAGACTATTGTTAAAATAAGAATGGATAATTAAATAGCTAACATCAAAAAAGATCCTAAAGCTCTTTTTGGAGGCGGAAAAAAAGTTGTCTGTTCATGATTTTCTTCTATTTCTGATCCAGGTAGAGCCAGAAGTGAAAATGCAAAACCACTATGACAGTTGACATTCTCGGTTATAATTCAGGATTGAAGAATAAAGAAATTCAGATACTGTTGAAAAACTCTGGATAAGCATAAGATTTTCACTGCTTAGAAGACTAACCTTTGAATTTTTTCTGTCAATTCAGATGATTTGCAGGCCGTTAGCATTTCTGAAATGTTTTCAAAAACTTTGAATGTGCCACATTTTAGCTATTTGAACCCTATGCGTATGGCTGGGGCTTGAGCAAGTGGAAAATCTTGTGAATAAAACAAGATAGGCTGAAAAATGAAATCAGAAAGAGGAGGAATAGATATAATTCTTAACATACTTGTCTTACAGATGACAAAAATAATTTTGAAACAGATGGAGCCAAGGTAAAAATACTGTTTTCCTAGAACTTTCAATAGCTTTTAGCTGCTGCCTCCTGTGTATTCAGTGGTAGCTATGCTTTTTCATTCTTCTGCACTTCACAGTATCACAATCAGTAAGATTTCTTCTGTTGCTGTTAGTGCTGTGTGAATGAATGATAAGAATGGCCACAAATTGTCTATCAACTGTAGAACAAGAGAGAAAATATAAAATATAGGTCTGTGTCCACTAAAAGCATGCAGGTGTTGCAGAAATAAAATGGCATGTGATGGGTCTCATTAGGCAAGAAAGAGCATTTGAATGTGTTGCCATATTCTTCCAAGAATGGTGGCTGTGCGTGGAATAATACTTTTCAAGCTCTGGAAATACCTGTACTACTTCAGAGAGATTAATTCAGCTATGCAATTAAGGATCCCTTTTCTCCTTTTAATACAGTTTGTATTTTAGACATGGGGATCCTTAAACCAGAAGTTAAAGTCTTCAGATAGAGTTTCTAAAAACCATCGTTAACTACTGCGTTTTAGAGGCCAGTGCATGCTTTTTGTTTTGGCAACAAAATAAGCTCTTACTGTTTAATCATTTTGTTTTGTTTTGTTTTTCCTTGTTGTTGCTAAAAGAATTGGTTTTAGTGATTTGTACAGGGAGTTGTGAGTAGGGAAGCTAAAACAACAAATGCATGGAGCAGGAAAAAGAATGTGCTGGCTAATGAGCAAAGGGGACCTACCAATTACTTAGAAGCATAAAATCTTTCCTCTGATGGAATTTTTTGCTCTGTTAGGTGTACAATAGCATGTACAATCTTCCCATGGTTCCGATTGCACTGGGCATTTGAATTTAACTTATGACATTGTTGCTAGCTGGTTTAGTCTTAATTGCATTTAACTAAACCGTAAAAATTTGGTCTTTTGAAAGTATAATAGGAGAGCTATGCCTTCTGGGGGAAAAGGTCGTTTTCCACTTGTGCAGGCTTTACTGTCAAATATAAACTGAATGTAACTGTTTAAATTAAATTTCAGACAGAAAGGTCTTATTCTGAATCTGTCCTCTGGTCTGGGTACTTTCCCTTGTCCTTTATACACAATGTACTCAGCTTCTAAGGTAAGTCTTTCACGTTGCTTTATAAAGAAATCCCCACCAAGTGTTTACCGAAGTGTTTGCATCAGCAATACAGGGCCAGGTTTTCAGGACATAAATCAGTGTTGCTCCACTGATGTGCGATGTAAATTAGCACTAGCTGGGAACTAAGAATCAGTGAAGCCATGTAAATGAAATCAAGCTGAAAATATGTCTGATCATTTTTGCCTTTGATTAATTTGTATTATACCAGTGCTCACAATCTGTCCCGTTCCGGGAAGTGATGACTTTTACTGGCTTAGCTAATTCGCTCAAAACTGTAGATGCACAAAAGTGCTAAATTTTGCTTATGAAACTAAGGATAAAATTTCTGGTAGATGGTAGCGAGTTGCCTGATTTCTCTTTGGAATTTTGCTCTGAATCAAAACCCCAGAACTTATAAAAATGAGGAGTCAAAAATTTTTACTGAAACTCCAGAAGCAACTTGCTCAGCTCAGGTTTGCTTCAAATGAAAAATTCTAACAATATTTGCTTGAACATAGCTAAAGTTCAACTTGGTAAGAAAAAGCTAGTTATTCTTGGTAATAAAGTCTAGTTTTCCATTTCCTTTTTCTCTTCTTAAGTTTCTCATTACTCAGAACTAGAACTACATTCAAACCAGACAATTTTAATTCCTTAAAAAAGTTAATAATGTTTCAAAGTGAAATGGTACATTGGTTATATTATTTTGACTGTTTTAATTCTTGGGTATCTTTTACCTTTGTTTCTTTTTAAATGGACTTTTTTTGCAATGGCCTGAAACTATTTTACTTGTCAGTATATTGATGTTTCATGCAATGTCATGACACTATTGGTGTTTAAATTGTAAGACCTGTTAACTGATGGCTTTGAAACACTGTTATTTTTTTTGCTTAGTAGGACTTTTATATTTCTAACTACAGAGGAGTGATCCAACATTGTCAAGTTTCTGAGTATTTCTCGAAGACCTAGTTCCTAAAAGTCTTAAAAGAATCTTAACTTTTAGACAAAGAATTTAGTAAACACATACTCTTCATGACGTGAAGAAAAACTTAGAAAGACAACCCTCAAAGGCTGAAGCTACAACCTCCCCCAAATTCTCAAATACTTGACTTTAAGAATCATATTTGTAGGTTATGCTAATAGGTATAGAATCATAGAATCATAGAATCATAGAATCATAGAATGGTTTGGGTTGGAAGGGACCTCAAAGATCATCTAGTTCTAACCACACTCCCATGTCAGGGACACCTTCCACTAGACCAGGTTGCTGAAGTCTCCATCCAACCTCATCTTAAACATCTCCAGGGATGGAGCATCCACAGCTTCTCTGGGCAACCTGTTCCAGTGTCTCACCACCCTCAGGGTGAAGAACTTCTTCCTTCTATCTAGTGTAAACCTGCCCTCTCCCAGCTTCCAACCATTACCCCTCATCCGATCACTACACTCCTTGATAAAGAGTCCCTCCCCACCTTTCCTGTAGGCCCCCTTCAGGTACTGGAAGGCTGCTAGAAGGTCTCCCTGGAGCCTTCTCTTTTCCAGGCTGAACAAGCCCAACTCTCTCAGCCTGTCCTTGTAGGAAAGATGTTCCAACCCTCTGACCATCTTGGTAGCTCTCCTCTGGACTTGCTCCAACAGCTCCATGTCTTTCTTGTGTTGGGGGCTTCAGAGCTGGAAGCAGTATTCGAGGTGGGGTATCACGAGGGCAGAGTAGAGAGACAGAATCACCTCCC